TCCCAATTTACAGCAGCAAAATTATGAAGGGGAGAAAGTAGAAGACAAAAGTACATAAATAAATGTAAATATAAAATATACATAATAGCATATTAAAAAATGGGGGAGTGGGGAAGATGTCTCACGTGGAACCGATTTTGTTCAAACCAAGTTAATTCACCGGATTTTTATTTCCAGGCTACACAGGGTATGCATAATCCTGATAAAAACAGACACATGATTGAAAATGTTTCCCTTTGTGGATCTTCCATTTCTGCTCCAACTGGAGAGCAATGCAACCAAAGACATTTCCAAGGGCAACAAAAGCCCGCTTCTCAGTGCAGCGATAAGCAACTCTTTGACAGATGTTGGGAACGACTTTTCCTCCCGTCTTTATCTCTGCTCTCCTCTGCATGTAGAGAGTCGTGTTGGAGTGTGACCTGCGACTCTATCGGCAGAGTCACTCTCACGCCAACGAGGACTACCTGAGCCTGCAAGGGAACGAGCGGAAGCTGCAGGGGGTGAGGCCGCCGATTACCAAAACGCCCTTATCATCTGGGTGAAATAATACAGTGTCCGTGGTTTAGTGAGATTCCGAAATGGACGCATGCACACATCCCTCTGTAGGTTGCGGCCGAGCTTGACAGTGACAAATATAGTGACGCGCTCACCTTTTGTATGTGTGTGTGTGGTCTGTGTGCGCACGTGTGTGGGTTTTAGCGCTGCAGCGAGCAGGCGGAGCGGCTTGTGGAGTGTGAAAAGGTTATTCTACAGATGAAATCAGAGCTGGAGAGACAGTAATAATGGCATCTCTATGAAAACTCTTGGCTGATCTCAGTTCTGTCCTTGTCCTTCTTTTCATGCCCTTCCCATCCCCCCTCTGCTGCTTGGCCCCTACATCCGACCCCCACCCCGTTGCTGCTTCCGCTTCTTGACCAACTGGCATCACGTAGGACTTGATGAAACATGCTAAACTTGGCATCATCTCGTCAAAGCTTTTCATTCTGCGAGGCCGTTCTATGGTTTCATCTTTCAATTGGGTGTGGGACTTGGAGAACCATTTGAGGCTCACGGTGCGTTTGCCCTGCTTTCCTCAGAAACCAAGAGCAGGGCAGTCCGAAGCAAAATCTTGTCACGTCCTGCCGTGCACACCTAAGCCGGCGTGGACAATGGGAACAGGAAGTGACGCGGCTGAAACAGGAACTTGCACACTTAGAGCGTGAGCTTGCTGACAGCCCAAAGGTATTTCTGCTGATGGAAACCCAATCGTATAAGTAGCGCTTCTTCTTCTCGCATTTGCTTTCGGAAATCCACATCTGAAACGAAAACGCCTCACAAGGGGGAAATATGAATAAAACACTTTGAGCTACCCACTGTACACACTCAACTCAGCAATCATGTAAGTGTCCCATACTTGCCTGCCAGAAACAAATTGTCTCGCTATTAATTAAAGCGCCAAACAGTGCCAAAGCCGATGAAATTGACTTCAATTACAAGCTCGATTTCCGCGTTTACTCAAACAGCACAGCAGTTGTGTTTGCTGTTTTGGCTTATTTCGCGGATCCGATCAATGACGCCATTGTCAGATTGCGCCAATTATGACATGACAGTTGATCAGCTATTTTGCATGAAATGCTAAATATCAATCGATTTCAATGCAGTCGATCAGTTCGATGGAAAGTCAAAAATATACACCTGCTGTATATGAAGGAAACAAAAAAGTAATTTGAAAATCATACGACAGCCTCTTAGATGAATCCGTCCAAAGTAGACGGTTCAACTGAACAAGTACCGCACTTGAGAACCTGATCTCTATCAGGAGTGAGTAAAAGGAAGACACTTTCAAGTGTCCAGGAATATCTGTGCAGGAAATCACCTATCGTCTTATCATGAGCATGAACATGCACATTTTTAAATAGGAAA